TTCCCCACCATTTTCATCGTAAAGTGGGAATCCTCTCTTGTTGTTGAAGATGAATCTCGCCACATGTGGTGGCTTCTTGGGTGGCATAATGTCCCCCACTGGCTCATTTCGAGCCAGCATCCCCTTGATATTGTCCCATGAGTCAAAGTCATCCACTAATGGTGATTCAACTGCCCCTGTAGGCTGGCCTCCGCCCAGCGAGTCCCATAGAACACTTTGTGCCGGGGGAGCCCAGCCCATCTTTAACTACCCCACCCACCAGGGTGCCCCTGTGGGTCCTGGTTGGGTGGGGGTTGTGAGGGGGGTTGGGAAGGCTGGGGAAATCCTGGATAGAATCCTGCGTCAGCAAGATACTGTAATCCATGGTAGGGTGGTGGCTGGGACTGTTGGTAAGGCTGATAAGTGGCTGCTGGATACAATTGTGCTGGCTGAAGAGAGCGTGGATCGGCACGAGGACGCTTGTCATCTTGCTTGAGTAGAGGAGACGTCACAGGAATACCATCTTGAGTCGCAACTGGTACATTTGAAGGTGGTGGTTGCTTCTGATAGGGATTTCCATGGTAGCCCTGCAGAAAATCTGGGTGTGTGTAGACATTATTAGTGCCTTGGTGGTGGTATTGTCCATGGGCTGGAGACTGATGAGGAGTTTGGTAACTTCCATAGTGGGGCACAGTCATCCCTGGTACTGGACCATCATTGGCACCCCCTCCAGGAGGATGTGGTTGTCTGGAGGAAGGAGGATTAGAGGGGGTGGCAGTGGCTTCAGATGGTCTTTGCATGTTATTGAACAAGGCCATCATCTGCTGAAATCTTGCTTCACTGGCTTCCTGGTCCTTTTGGTGCTTCGCTTCCAGTTGTTGCAGTTGTTCCTGATGTTTCTTCTCCATTCTTTCCATGGCATCTAATGTGGACTTGGTCTGTTGCTGCATAGCTAATGTTGACTTGGTCTGTTGTTCCATGGCTGCTTTGAGGGCTGCTATTTCTTTGGACGGTGCATCACTAGTAACATCACTGGTTGCCACAGTGGTGGCTGTAGCTGGGACAGAGACATTAGTCACTGGTGCCTGATTCTGTCCCCAAGTTCTGACTTTGTCTGCCCAAGTAGTCATGATTGCTTCCACTGAAGCAAGGGAGGCATCATCTTGATACAGTGTGTGAAAGGAGCGACTGCTGCATGAGTACTGATCCCAAGAGTCATCCCTTGGAGTTCGTGGTTGTCTTTGAATGACAGAAGGCTCCTCATCCTGAAGGGCATAGTCTTGTGGGAAGATGGTGGCATCCGAGAAGATATCTGTGAGTTTTTCCACCACTGTGTCTCTAGCACTCTTTTGGCAAATGGCATAGTACTGCCCTGCAGTGGCATAGGATTTGTGGCGTTCCAGATCCAACAGTAGGGGCTTGCCATTGGCAGTGACAATCTTCTCTATGAGCAAAAGGCGAATTTCATCTTCAAAGTTTGGATTCAGATCTTGTAGGGGGACTCCAGTGGTGGCATTGATGACATCCATATGTTGAACCATTGCCGTCTTCATAAGGTCATGGTGCTTTCTTTGTCTGCTGATCTTGTTCAATTTTGGGCTCATTAGATCCAACTGTGGGTGTTGCAGAGTGGGGTCATTGGCAATGGCTATCATCAGATTCTCAAAGACTGAACGGTCGGTGATTCCCACTTGGATGCCAAGGATGTCAATCTTCTCAGTATCGACCTTGACTTTGGTTGGAACAATGGCAATGGGACAGGTTATGGGAGGCCTCTGCTGACGTAGCCAACTAGATACCCGAGGTAACAGGCCACGGAAGGTCTTATTGGGATTCTTCCCGGCAATGTAGCATACTGTGGCAGTCTGGGATTCTTCTAAGCTGTGTGGCCGCACGAAGAGCTTGTGTTCTTTGAGAAAGCGAACCACCCCTTGAATCTTCTTTAGTGCAGGCACGCTGTCGTAATCAGGGCTATGCACATACAACGAACAGGCAAATCGACGACGGAGGCATTGAGCCACTTGACTAGCTGGTTGCGGGTCATGTCTCCTAGGGAGTCCAAGTCAATGCCATTTCCCTCAAAGTCTCTTATCCCTTCATGATCTTTGAAGGTGATTGTGTACCTGTCATCAGAACACAACAGTGTCAACAACTGCTGACCAGTGGAATAGGCATTGCTGTGGTTGCTGGATTCATTGCCTCGATGCGAACACCAAAGTAGTGTGTCTTGTGGCTCCTTGCACCATCATTGGCATCCTCAAAGCTTTCCTCGTCATCATCCCTCATAGTATCTCTATTGGCGCCATCCTGATTGCCATCTGTGTTGGGTTCATCGGTGCTCTCATTGGCATCAAGAGCCATGGGATTGGCAGCACCAAGTGAAGCAGCAGCAGCATCTTGCTTGGACTCCTGAATGGTCATGGTGGCAATGCTTGGAATTGGTGGAACATCAATTTCAGGAGCTGGTTTCAGTAGACCCAAGGACTTCGCTCTGTAATGAATCTCTTGAGGCAATGGACAGTGAGTTCTCTGTAGCTCAAGAAGGGAGTTCCTGACACAGACAGAGGCAGTGTCATTGGCTGGGTCGGCGGGAACAAGCTCTCTGGTTTTAAACCAATCATCACAGTACTCACAACGATACCAAACCATTTGTAGATATTAGGTACAAATCAACTGGTAGCTTACAGACGTTACTTTTTAGCATATAGAACGTACTAGAAATCGTCAAAAATGTGGCTTCTGAGGTTCCAATTGACAGTTTCTGGGCTCTGGAGTGACTCGATCTTATAAATGAGATTGTACTTAGCAATCCGTAAACTCGTCCTGGTGCATTCTGTATGTAGTTTTCCTCCTAAATACATACGCATACCTAAGTAACCGAAAGGGCACGACTGGGTTGGCAAGGTCGTGGCTGTATGTTATCATGCATGCTATCTTACAAATCATGAGCTCGTCGGATCCGGTTGGATGACCTCTCCTTCCGAAACTGCTGAATTACTACCAAAGCTTTAACCAGCGACGTCACGATTTTATATGCCAAACACGTGGAATGGTATGGTAGGGGTGCTCCCGTTTTCGCTCTACCTAAAAATGCGCTTCTTAGATGCACGCAATCAATTGTATCGCTCACTCGCTCACTCGCTCACTCACTCACTCACTCACTCACTCACTCACTCACTCACTCACTCACTTACACAATTAATTGTATCGCTCACTCGCTCACTCACTCACTCACTCACGCAATTAATTGTATCCCTCACTCACTCACTCACGCAAATAATTGTATCGCTCACTCGCTCACTCGCTCACTCACTCACTCACTCACTCATCACTCACCTCACTCACTTACACAATTAATTGTATCGCCTCACTCGCTCACTCAATCACTCACGGAATTAATTGTATCGCTCACTCACTCACTTACGCAATTAATTGTATCGCTCACTCGCTCACTCACTCATTCGCTCACTCACTCACTCACGCAATTAATTGTATTGCTCACTCACTCACTCACGCAATTAATTGTATCGCTCACTCGCTCACTCACTCACTCACGGAATTAATTGTATCGCTCACTCGCTCGCTCACTCACTCACTCACTTTGAACCTCAAACATGACTCAAAAACGTTTCGTCAAGGCAACTCTTTTGCAGGCATTAGAATCAAATCACTTATAAACTCAATCATGGCCCCAGCTAAGCTTCACCCCGGACGGCGCCTTCTCCTTCTTCTTCTTCTTCTTCTTGTTCTTGTTCTTCTTCTTCTTCTTCTTCTTCTTCTTCTTCTTCTTTAGCTTCCGTATTGGGAGGCACGCAAACCTCACCCTCATATGTTGCTTCCGAAATGGTGCTATGCGTGCGGATCCCTTGCCTCCACCACTTGGATGCGACAGCCACTTGTGCAAGGAAGCAGTTCCACCACCACACAGCCTTCTTCATCAGGTCCTCATGAGCAGCCTTTTCTTCATCAGTGGCATCCTCTCGTGGGGGAATCAACACCTTGACTCGGTTCATAATCTTGATGATGTCATCCATGGAGGGGAAGTCATCCGTCCCCTTATCCGCAACAAGCTTCTTCACATGGTTGAAGCACTGGCTCTGCACATAGTTGTGGGCCTTGTTCAGATGACGACAGACCTGCTTCCGCCAAACAATGTTGAACTGTTCGCGATTCCTCTGAATCCCTAAGAAAGCAGCATGCAGAAAGGGAGGCAAAAGGTGTGAGATCTGCAAGGTGCACATGGCAATTGATAAGCAAAACCACCCAATTGCGTACCGTACGTCGGTCCTTGTTTGCATTGAGCGATCTTGGCGTATGTGCTAACAGAGACTGAACCAGGTCCTGCAAGCGAGGTCCAGGCCTGGCACATCCACTGCGCCCATACCCAGTATCAAGAGATCCGAAGCTATGCGCATGTGCCCTTCTCAACAGAGCGATGCACACGTGCAGCGACATACTCAAAACTGCTGAGACGGTACACCGTCCATGGGTCTGTTTCCCCCTGTCTAGCTAGCTAGTAGGTACTACTACCAGGGAAACAAAGATAGGTTAAGGAGCGAGGGGGGCTGACCTATTAGGGGAAGCTGATCGACGCATCGTTTGCGTTCATGTCATGACATGTGGCATACTAGTATCCTCGCAGCGATCGCGACATCGCGACAAAAAAACTCAACCGCATGGAACCAATAACAGCAGAGTAAGCTCTCAAGATCAGTTTTTATAAGCTGCGGAATAATACTGCTACCTGAGAGTATCTCCTAGGCCTCTTCGGACATTAAGAATTGGCGTGCTACTGCATCGTAGACGGTATCACAAGTTGTTGCTACTAAGAAACGCATAAGATCACCCCTCCTTTGCGAGTCAATTGTCTCCGTCATTAACCTCGTACAAGCTTTGGCCCACCAGAATTTTAAGGCTCCCTCCAACACTGAACATACACACCACAAGAGGACTGCACTGAACTGATTTGGCAGCAACTACGAGCTACTACCAATAGCTGTTGGGTCCAGTCCATCATCACCATGAATAACTATCACAGGCCAGTCTACGTCCATGAATATGACGGTGGCGAATATGATGTTGTCATGTTCACAGGGGCGCGGTGGGCCTTGACCTCTTCTGAGTTCCTCTTACATGGTGGAAGAATACCGGACAGGAAGGTTTCCAATGGTCAAGAAGGCGTTGGTTCGGACATTGGAAACTTCTTCAAGTATTTCTTCCATGCGTACAATGGCTACTACGGCAACTACACGGTGTCAGAAGTATTCGTTATATAGCATCATTCGTCCTTCCCTTAGCAACGGGGAGGCAGTCTACCTTTTCCTGGGTCCTTGGGTGAGTGGTTAGCATGCCGTACAGTGTGACCCATTTACACACAAACTTCGCAGGTTATGAGCCCAAATTGTGGTACTTTGTGACTTCGAGTCGCAGACGGCTGCTGCAGTGCTTCTGGGAGCCGCCTGCCTGCGACTCATGCACCGCTATAAGGACCGACAAGACCCACGTCTCTTGTTCCCCCCCTACAGCCCAGCTTAAAAGGGAAGGACGAATGATGCTATATAACGAATACTTCTGACTCATGCACCGCTATAAGGACCGACAAGACCCACGTCTCTTGTTCCCCCCCTACAGCCCAGCTTAAAAGCCTACTGGTTCCTGGGAGGTAGGGGGGGAACAAGAGACGTGGGTCTTGTCGGTCCTTAGAGCGGGGCATGAGTCGCAGACAGGCGGCTCCCAGAAGCACTGCAGCAGCCGTCTGCGACTCGAAGTCACAAAGTACCACAATTTTGGGCTCATAACCTGCGAAGTTTGTTCAGCATGCTAACCACTCACCCAAGGACCCAGGAAAAGGTAGACTGCCTCCCCGTTCTAAGGGAAGGACGAATGATGCTATATAACGAATACTTCTGACACACGGTTGCCTTTCTCAGTGATTACATGCAAGTGGGAACACAGCTGGACTCTATTTCTCCTGTCAGTTTGTCTTGGTATAATGCGGTAGCAAAATATGCTACAGCTGAAAATGAGAACTAGGAAACCGGCAAATTGGTTGATTCAGAGTTTCTCTGCCATGTTTGTCATGATGATTCAAACCCATGCCTGTATGATGGAAAGTGCAAGAACGGGACATGTGAATGCTCTCAAGACTCTTTCGGGGGCGGTGTGAAGTCCCTCCAGGTATGCATGTGCACATGGACCATACAAGTGAGTGTTGCTCAGTTCATCCTCATTCAAGCTTTTGCTTTCTTTCTTGTAGTGAAAAATGGTCACTGTGACCCCTTTTTTAACGCACCTGAGTTCAAAATGGACAGCGGCGACTGCTGTGAATCCACCTGTCAGAGCACACCTCAATACACTTGTGGTGCCGCAGAAGATGGTTATGTCAGCACGGGATACTACTACTATAAGCAACCAAAAAATAAGTGGGAAAGCAGTCTCTTGAATGGAGTGGCTGGCTCCTTCTCTGGTTTTGCAGTGGATCTTTCAATGACGTCGATGGTTGTGTCAGGGGACAGTGTGCAGATATATGACAAGTTTGGGCCATCCTGGATACTCCGAGATACTATCTTGGGGGACCTAATCTCAGACAGCCCTCTCTTCTGAACCCTTCAATGTGGTCAGCAACCCAAGCTTCATAGCCCCCCTAACAATTGCTGCCCATGATTGGAACAAAACAATTTATATCTACAAGTACAATCATGATGGCTGCACTCAAACTCAGGAGTTCCCATTGGTGGGTGACTTTGCTTTGTCAGATGATGGGACTGTTCTTGCAATGTCCCTATGGATATCATTTGAGGAGGCTCCCAACGTGATTCAAGTCTATGAGGCCCAAGAGGGATTATTTGAGTTCCGCACAAATGTAACCATCACAAGAAATGGTACCCTGGCTGGTTTCTATTCCTTGTCGTTGAGCGAAGATGGCAGCAAACTGGCCGTGCAGTCATTATTTTACTCTGAGTTTTTCTCTGGGTCCATTGTTGTCCTGGCCTGGGATGAGTTGAGTGGTGACTATGCTACCGAGACCGAGTTGCGCTTTGAGACTGATTTGTACACGTTGTTCCCCTTGTCATTGGCATTGAACCAAGATGGCACTGTTCTTGCATATGGCTTCCCCGAGTGTCAAGGCGCTCAGCTTCACATTTTTACTTGCAATGATGCTGGCGTTTGGGTACCACGGAGGGCTCCACAGATGAACACCACTGGCTGCATTGAAAGTACCTTTCCAACAAGCAACAATGCATTGGCAGTATCTGGTGATGGATCTGTGATTGCCTTTAGGGTTGGTAGCAAGGTCAGAGTTTACAGATGGGAAGCTGAATTGAAATCTTGGAATTCTTTGGGAGACGAGTTCCCATTCACACACTACCCAGTTGCAATGTCTCCTGAAGGCAAGGAACTTGCAATTAGTTCGCCTGAAGATCGCAATGGTGGAGTCACCGCTGTTTATGCACTTCCTGGAAAAAAGGAGTGCCCCACTGGCATGTCACTCCTACGCCTTTCACTGACCCTTGATTCTTTCCCTGCAGAGGTGGCTTGGAATCTTGTTAATAACAGAACAGGGGAAATCCTGTTTGAACAAGACTCTTATCCACAAGAGTACAAATTCGCAACAATCTTGGAGGAGACCTGTGTCCCAGCTGATTCTTGCTATACCTTCACAATGTACGACACGTGGAATGATGGCTTAGTAAAGGCCCCTGGACAGTATTCAATTTTCATGGATGGAGAGAAGGTTGCTCAGGGAACATTTAATGGTCTTTTGCAAGAGAGCAGTTTGGAAGCTGTGCATCTTGCCCCGCAGGTACAGAGCTGTTTAGCATGATGATATTAACATGTGGACCCATGGAGTGGGCACTGTTGAAGTTGATTGAGCAGGGGGTCAACAAATCAGTGCTTCATGAGGACAACAACTTTGACAAGGTTTCCAATCAAACTGTGTATCCACCTCGCTCTGATGATGATTTTCTGCTATCGGAGAGTGACTGCAAGATTATCCCAGATTCTCATGATGCATGCCTGGACCCAGCAGAGTGCTATGAGTTGCAGGTCTCTTCCAACAAAGTGAAGAACAGAGCATACGTGGAAATAGTGTTTGGGGAGCAGAGAGTCAATACTATACCTGAAACAGCTTGTGAGGGGCAGACCTTTTTTGTGGGAAGGGAGGACAAATGCTTGCAGGAAGAGGACTGACGGTGGAACCAACATGTGACGTTCCTTCAATGCTAGATGTTGTCAATAGCTGATTGCTTTCACATTCTTTTTTTTTTAATGGATTTCAGGCCATGCAGAAACGAGAATTACGGTGGTAACCGTGGTCGTCTTTGTTGTCTTTTAGTTTGAATAGATATGCATTACAATGTATGTAGTTAGTTGTAGGGTGGCTACCCCACTCATTTATTTATTGTCAAGCCGTGATTGTTCTGAGCCCAACCTCACCGGCTGGGGCTGGTAGCACAGTAACCCGCTTCTATAAATGAGCATCGCAACCCCCATGCATGCAGCGTTGGACGTTTTAGGCTTCAGTTTTGGTATAGCCGAATTGACCGGCCGCTCTAGCTAAAGCTCCGCAAGAGTCAGAACCCGGCCGCGTCCTTAACACTGAATGCTTGCATCTTTTGCGTTGTGTCCATGCAGCATTTGTCTGTCACAATTCAAGGAAAGCAGAAAGGATAAGGCAAGCAAATCGCCTTTGCAACAATTTCTAGTCAATAGATAAGAAGCAAACTTGCCATGTGGCTACGACTTTTAAGAAATGTATTCGTTGTCTTGGTTGTATGTGACGGCACATTTGGCAAAAGCGCAGGATAGTGTCGTGGGCGATGGTGCCTGCCAACAGGAATGTGAGGCAGCCTATGCTGACCCCACAATGATTGATCTCTGCAACACCGCATGCTTGGAACAACCAGAACTCTTCCATGTGGACTTTCCTTACATTTTTGGGCCCCTCACTGTGCAACCCTACCCAAATCTCACCAATGCGGATCCAACGGAATTGGAAGACTTGACTGGAACTTTGTGGGCTCGAGTGAATGTGGACCGCAACCGCATGCAGTTCATGTACGAAATGGATAGCAATCCAGAGCCTTTCTTCCCCTACTTTGCCATGCATTTGCATCAAGGAAACTTGAATGCCGAAGAAATTGGTGGTCATATTATAGTGAGCATTGCTGGGCAAGGAAGTTCCGAGATGGCAGACATGCATACCAAAACAAGATGCTGTGGAAGCTTTCCATTGATATTTCTCAAATGCTTTGTTTCGTTTTATCAGGCGACCTTGTTGGTTGTTTCCTTCCAGCTGCACAAGGAGGAGACGGACCACCCGACCTTCAGCTGTGCAGCGAAAAGTGCACGGTGGGCTCCACGGATAGGGGAAATTGTGTCAACCCTGGCTTGACCCAACCAGAACCATTGGAGGCGTGCCCGGTTTGCGACCTTACTTTGGCCTACGCCTATTTTTGCCCTGGAGGGTGTCAAGGTGATGGAAGAATCGTTGGAAATTCCACAGTGAATCCTGTGGCTGGCCAGATGCAAAACCAGACGGTGGTTCCAAGCCGATTTTGCGATATTGGCGGGAATAATCCCAGTAATGCTGTGCAATGAGCAAACGAAACAGGCATCCAGTGTCACTGCACCTTGTGGCATACGTTATTGTCTCCTTGGGGCTTCCTTCTGTTGGCTGCTTGCTTGGGCCCAGAGTCAATAAAAGAATGACCGAGTCATGAGTGAGTGGGACTGCGGGCCACTGCTACAATGCTGCATGTTCGATGATAATGCTGTGCAAGGACCATGGATCCCAGGATTGCACTCAGTGGAGTTTTCAGGAAACCCTGATGACGGGGAACATTATTCTTCATATTCGATCGGAGTGGAAGAAAACTTTGACTTGTGGTGCGGACAAGAGCTTCCTTTCTTGGTGGACATGGTTCTAGGTGGTGGACAAACCTCTTATGTTGCACTGCATGGAGACTTTAATGCAACCGGTTTTGCCTCCGTGCTGTGCGGTGATGCATTTGCCGCCGTTTCCACATCGGGTGGAGGCCCCCAGAACTGTACGATTTTTGGCCATGCATGCAGACTACGCTTGTGCGGATGGCATCAATGGTGTCCTGAATCCAATTGGAGCTCCTCTACTGATGGAAGAGTCATCAATTTCATCTCCAAGCGCATCGCCTCTTTCATCCCCCAATGACTCGCAAAGTGAACCCCAGCATGAAGCTAACAGACGACTTCAGTGACCTCATCAGCGACGGTGCGGGACATTGCAGCATGTGGTTGTGTTTAGGGTTGCTGACCATTTGCTTGGTCCAATGTACTATCAATCTGTTACTGTAAAGTGTGTAGTGAATAGTTCAGAGAGGGTGAAGCCTTATCTCATCATGGTCTTGAATAGAAAGTCGTCCATTTGTCAGGCTGGCCTAGGAGCGAGAGCCACCGGCACTTGGCACTGTCACGCAAAGAGCAAAGCGCCAAAACTCCAGGAGAACCGCCTGTGACGATTACCATCGCTACGGTTTTTCCGCGGGACCACGATTTCGCAGGAGAAAAGTCAATCCTCGACTGCTTCTATGCCTTGCACGCTTCCGGACACCCGTACATCGATAATCCGTTCCCTTTGAGGGTGCATCGTCCCACGTCTCTTAAGCAGAAGCCATCAATGCACATGTTGCTCGAGCCACACCACAAACGGCGAAGGACTCAGACGGCGTGCTGGTTTCCCATCAACGTTGACCAACCTAGCTAATGGTCTTACAAATTCTTTGTTCGTCGAAGGACTTCAGGTAGGAGGCAGGGGAGCAATGAATTCGAAATCTTTGTATGCCATCGATGACTGGACGTTGCGTTCATAATGAGTGATTCGATTAATATACTCGAACAGGTGGCAGCCCTCAAGCAACAGTCGCTGACAACTCTGGGGATCCATCACTTGCAACCTCAATGACGACGACAACTTCCGAGAATGACGAGGATTCACCATCCGCCCCAAAGGCATAAATCACAGTTGCATTGGTCCCCAAAATCATTGTGATCCATCCGTTCCTCCAGAATCCATCGCCATAGCCGTCAGACACCACAAAACGGTAAGCCGAGTCCGGCACCAAGGTCAGCGGGTACGTGTGTAGGTGTTTGCTCGCTTGTAGCGCTCCATTCGATCCTGTAACATTCTTCCAGGAGGTGCCATTCCCTGCCCGCTGCCATAACCACATGGTGTCCCCTGGAAATTCGTCGGTGAGGATATTGATCCAAAGCTCACCATTATTTGTTTGTGACTCCCTTGGGAACCGTCCTGGCCAGTCCAGGGCCCCCTCTTCTAGGTCCGAGCATGTCGACACGAGGGAGACATTATTATTTGTCGAAGAACAATCATCACACCACAGCACGGTACAAAGATTCGGCGGCACTGTCCCCTCAAACCCGTTGCCGTCGAGCCTCAATGCGAGCGAAGCATTCAGCTCTTTGGGCAACTCCCCACTCAAGTTGTTGTTTTGTAGGTACAACTCCTTCAACGCAGTCATGATGCCAACTTCGGTTGGAATCGTGTTGGTCAATTGATTTTGGTGCAGATGGAGCAGCTCCAATGACGAAAGCAGTCCGACCTCCGTTCCAATGGCCCCCGAGAAACGATTGTCTTCCAATCGGGCCTCTTTCAGGTTCGTCCATGTTTGCAGATATTGAAATGGAATTTCGCCCGTGAACGAGTTTTGATACAACCACAGCACCGTCACATTCGTCAAGGCACCCAGCGTGGTGGGGAGCGACCCGGAAAGCGAATTTTCAAAGAGGGCAATTTTGTCCAGGTGGGTCAGGAGCGCCAACTCACTCGGCACGCTGCCCGTCAACGAGTTGCGAAACAAGTTCATTTGCTCCAGACTCGTCAGCAATCCCAATTCGGTCGGCAGGGTACCAGTGAGTTGGTTCACGCGAAAGGACAGATCGGTCAAGGAGGTCATTTCGTAGTATAGTTCGTTGGGAAGAATGGCATGGAGTGGCGCATGAACGTCATTGTCGTTGAGGTTGATGGCCACCAAGGACGTCAACAGAACAATCTCTCGTGGTATGGAAGGAATGACTTCAATAGTGTCGCCACCCAGCTCCAACCCATTGACATCGAGGTAGACAAATTCTCCCATTTCATTGCACGGATCCAGTTGTTGATCGGCAGGCTTTTCAATGTACTCTCCATCTTCCGTAAAGTACCCGGCTCCCCCCGAGTACCAGTGACATTCCTCCATGGTGTAGTCCATCCAGCGTTGTTTCATCAACGGATTCCAGTGTTCTCCTGCAAACGAATAAAAGAATGTGGCCAATGCAAAGAGCTGCATCTTTCTCCATTCGGGTAGGTTAGTAGTAGTGATGTTGGGATGATTGGCGAGCCAATTCCATGCCTTCCATTGCGGTTCGTGACTTCCACGGTTGAGACGTTCGAGTGTGTATTCCGGTAGTTGCATCATCAATTCATCCAGTGGCCCCGTGGGGGCGGATGATGGCGTGGAGGAAGGTTCGCTGGAACGAAGAAACTCGGACGGGGCCAACGTTTCCGTCGTGTCTCCTGTGTGAGAATCGTTCTTCTTCTTCTTCTTGTTTCCCAAAGAAACACCTAGAATAATGGCAGCAACCACCAGAATACACAACAGGACCATTCCGACTCCCATTTTGCGGCAGTTTCGTTCCTTTCGTTTTCGGTCGGCTTCTCGAGCAGCTTTTCGTTCTTGCAGCTCTTGAATATCGATTTCTTGCGCTTCCGCCATGACATTATTTTCGGGATCCCGTTCTTCTTCCTCCTCCAAGACGGGAATGGCTTCTACCAACCCGTCGTCACTGCCACTCAGGTAGTTGTTATTGGACGGACAAAGGAATTGAGACGAATTTTCGTCGGGCCATGGCGATGGTCCTGTACTAGTAGTAGTGGGTAGCGCTTGCGGCTGCTGCTGCTGAAAATTGATACCCGTATTGGTGGCAAAGGCTCCCGGACTGCCCGCCAGTTGCTGTTGGGCAGATCGACGCAATGGCAACGGCTGGACTTCGGGTTGCATCGATGCAGCCAACGGATCATGTTTGGAAGAACTGTTGTGTATGCGGACTCCTTCCATTCCTTCCCGTTTGGAAATGACGGGTTGTGCAGCTGTCTTGTTCGAGTTGGTGCTAGTTCCATGTGCCATGGCTGTTTTGGACATGGAGGCACCTGCAATATCTTCCATGGCAAGGTCTATAGCACTGGCATCCGGGTCCTGGATCTCCTCAGCAGCAGGACGATTGATCTGCTCCATCTCTTCTTTACGGGAGTTTGTGTTGGGGGTATCCTGGTGACTCTTAGGAGGAGAGGGAACCCCAACAGCTGGCAACTCATCACCTTTAGAGATGGCCGCCTTGCCTGACGAGTTGATGCTACCATCGGTCATCATGTTAGAAGTACTAATGGTAGTACCTGCAATGTCCACAGCGGCTTTGTCTGTGCCTGCTGTAACGGTGGGCTCATCAGTCTTCTCAGCAGCCAGAGGACTTTCCTGATCAGGACGGGCAACAACACCTATAGCAACACCTACCGCAGCATCATGACTCTTGCTCTCCGTCATCTTCTTGGTTCTTGGTGGTATCTTCCCTACTTTTAAACCCCGTGCTTCTTATTACTATACTATTACTCAGTCAGTCGATAGAGCTCAGACGGTTGTGTTCCAAAGTTTGGTGTTCTGTTGTTGAGTTACATGTACATGTAGTTGTGGAGGTGGTCACTTGGATCTTCGACTTCTGTTTCTTGATTTGGTCACGTTCCGTGAACAAGGGGTCTTGCCGGATAAACTATCCATAACACATATTATGGAGAACAAATGAATTATTAAGGAAATTAGTGCTGACGTTAGAGACTTAACGACTATGCCAGGAAGAAAGCAACTAAAAAGCATTAGCAAGACGATCCAGCTGGCACCTACAAGGTTCCACAGTGAGACTCGAGAGAACCTCAGTTCCTCTTCCTCCAAGCAATTTATTCCTCGTTTCCCGGATTTATTCCAAAAGCGACAAATTACTTTTCTTTATTCGTAAAGGGAGCTGCAGGAAAAACGAGTGATGAACCGCTGATGACCAAAGCTTCAAACTGCAAATAACTCACCTACCCTCCTTTCTACGTGAAATTTCCATCACCGAGGCATCGAGACAGGACATGGGGAATGATAGCTTGCGTGACGGTGCTTGACCTGGTTTCTATCCTATCACTATCACCGGAAGCTCACCGGAAGCAAGTTTGGTGTTTGGGTCACCACCATGCTGGTACTAGACTAGCTAGCTTTCCCGAAGCAGCCAACCTGCCTTCTGGAAAGGTATCAGAATGCGAGCGAATCCGAGTTTTCTTCACGGTTGCTTGCAGTGAGATTGATAATAGTGACACAAAAAATGCCTCTGGTGTGGTGGTTGCTTCCGACCGTAACGATATTGCTTGTTCGAAGCGACCTGCATGTACGCACCTAGCTAGCCAAGTACAGTACGGTAGCAATGCAAGCTCCAAGCAAACTGCAAAGTAATTCACCTTTCAAGCCATCTGGTGAAATTTCCATAGCCGCAAAGCATGTTCATGTTGCCTTCTTGAAAATTATCGATCGGTTCTACCGTACAGTCAATCTTTTTCCTTTCGAAGGTGCTGCTATCACCGGAGCCAGCTTGGGGCTTGGCTAGTTCGCCATGCTAATACGGTACTATCATAGCTTTCGCTCCTGAAGCAACCTGCGAGCGAATCCGACGTAATTTTGCGTGCAAATGCATCTGGTGTGGTGGCTGGTTCCGCACCGGTACGGTATTGTTCGAAGGTTGGCAACGACCTTCATGTACTTGGCCAAGTAGTAACGATGCAATACAAGCTAGCTAGCTAGCTGCGCTCGACTCGACTCTGAATCTCTGAATAGAGAGGACTGTCATGGCTGTCTCAGCCAGATCGAATGATTCGATTCGAATGAACTGTACGGTACATGAATTGAGACATGGATACTGAATCACAATTCTTTTGTCCCCGACCTGATGAGGCCGCCATTCACGCATTGCCAGCTGCCCCTTATGAATTCATCCAATGATGATGATGTCTACCGGTACGAGTATACTCCACCCAACAGCAATACCGGTATCGACAAAGGGGCTAGTACCGTACCCCTTCGGTACCACGGCAAGCAACAGAAAAGGCCACACGAGATACTGTTGTTGAACGTCATCTAGCTAGAAAGAGGCTCTCTCCGGTCGGAATGAACACACATCCACTTCCATGCAAACATCCTTTCCCTGATTGCTGCTTGCACGACTTTTGTCTTCGCCTTGGCGTGAAAGGACGATAAGAAGGCGTCCAGACAGAACAGATCCTCTACTACTAGACATGGTTTAGCGCAACTATCAGTTCCGGTACGTACTGAACACCAAACCCCGAAGCTCTCCTGATGCGGCCAGCTATCAAAGAGCCAGAAAGATGGAGAGCCTCGCTCGTATTTTTCTAAGTCAGTATTTAGTTACAAATATTCCTCTAACTCAATATTTAGTCACAAGCTTTGCTTGCGTTTGTTTGCTAGAATCAATATATAAGTCTACAGAATCTCCAGGCGTTCTGAATCCTCTATACCTGGTATATGTTGATCTTTAGTCACTCTAAGTCATTATTTAGTCAATCGGTCGCCTCACTCTTTGTGCCCGCGCCAAAACCATCTGCGCCACTTTTTTTTAGAAGAAGAGCACAGCGCCACCAGTAATAAACATCTATCTGGCAAAAACATCACCAACAATAGGTACAGTCTTTTTTAATATCATACGAGCAGTGGTCTACTAAGCCCACAAGAAGAAACGACCATGTCTACCAAGATTGCTCCCATCTTCCAGCAGAGTGCTTCATGCAAGCAACCTCAGACGAAGGAAGAGTTGCTGACTGAGAATACAAAGCTACGAAAGGAGAATGCCGCGTTGAAGAAGGAGAATGCCGAATTGAAAAAACGCAAGCGAAGTGATGATGCTGGTGCTGTTCCTCCCAGTAGTAGTAAAAAGGCCAAGACTCCCTCGCAACGCAAAAAGCTGTTTGAAAAGTGGGCCAAGGCGGCGGCTCGTGAAAGTGCCAAGACCAAGATGAGCAACTATGATGGCATGATGCCCTACACGGCCACGGTCAAAGAGACGACTCCTTGGACCGTAGCCGACTTTGAGTCACTCTTTTGTACTGATAACAACAACAACAATGGTGGCGTCAAACTCCAACCCACACCCACCAACAAACCCACGTCTCAAATTACCATTCTCGAGTTTGATACCCACGACAAGGTCCAACAGCTCTTTGGGGACGCCAACATTCCACTGGATGGGTACAAAGCCCAAGCTTGGAAATCTCGCAACTTTTGCAAGTCCGTGCGGGTCGGTGATTACCCAGCCATATTGGAAGGATTGCAAGTGCACTACAACAAGAGTAAGTGTACGCTACAACTTCAGTTCCTATTTCAAACGGAAGGGTGCTACGATTATGACGATTGATTGATTCATGACATGCACGTCAAGTTACAAATATGTATTTATAGAACTCTTCTTGACAGTCAGCCAATTTGCGATTTGAGAAAACGAAACAAAGAACGAGCCAAAACGCTGCCACATATATACCCATACCAATATACCCGTACGGTAACCAGATTGATTTGATTAAGAGCAGAAAGACAACAATATCTATTCTATTTGCTTCCTGTTAATTAGTAGAATAGATGCGTCTGATGCAATTTCCTTTTTTGTGGTGGCAGTGATTGTATGTAGACTGCAAGCCGTTCAACTCTTCCCGTCTCCGTTTCCTGATTTGCAGATATGCTAGGCAGCTAGCTAGCTACTAGCGGCAACTAAAGGTCACAAATACGGTAGATCTGGATTATTATTGGCTGCCAAACAGAAATAAACGTAGTGGGCCTCAATTGAAAGGACAACCGCCAAGGCGCGAATGGCTGATACCGTACGCTGGAGCGTGCGTTCAGCAGCCACCCAGGGCAAGATCGAACCCGAGCAAAGAACATTGGTCGACCTGTACGGTATTCCGCAAGAACGGGAAGCTGCGGTTTGCCCGTACCAGTTTGCCACGAATGTCCCTTGTAGTAGGAGCAAAATGAGTGACCCACCAGGCGAAACCAAGATGAAGCTCTACCACCGTAAGCCTAGCCAGCTACAGTCGTCACACATCGATTGAAACATTTCAAGCAGCTACCGTACCGTACAGCACTGTAGGCAACCGGTACCACATGGTACCACCGAGCTATAACCAAGTTCAGTTCTGACGACTGCACGCACATGCAGGTGCGCGCCTCGGTGGATTTGCTTCGTACAGTACAACAACAGCCCGTGGTTGCATGTTGCGCCGTCCAAGCACCTTGGGCGCAGCTCCTCCGTGGCGGGGTCAAATGAAAGGATGACGGTTTCAGTGGTTTTACCTAGAACCTCTCAAATAGGAATCTTGGTGTCTCCGTGGTCGCCTCGAGGTACCTCTTGGGTGTTGACTGACGATTGAGCAACGAGATCTAGGAAGGATTCGAATCGAATCTGTCGAATCGATCGTTACCGAGAATTCAATGACTCGACGGTGTAAATCGCTTGAAAATGTGAGTACCCCTATTGAGCTCGGAGAACTTTGCCTTTTTAAGTGCGAAAAAGCTTGGTGAACGGGGAACGGGCACAAACCAATAATCAAAGACACAGTTTTGGACCTGGTCACATGAAATGGTGCAAAAGGATTTAACACCTCCATTTTGGTGTCTTTTCGTTTTGCTAGGAGAACTGAAAAGTCATTTTCTGTTTTTTTACTTTTTTCAGCCGCCTCTCCTATTCTAAAGTAGATACCAGTACGTGTACGTATCAATAGCTACTAGCAAGCTAAGCAAGCTCCTACTAGCTACTAGCTAGTAGCTAATAGCAACTCGAGTAGATCCTTCATTTCAGTGTTTTACTGCACGGTGCTGCCAGTACGATGTCTTCAGGTTGCTGCTGCAGAGTACTGAGTACTCAAGTAATGGCTAAGTTCCATGCCAAGAAGCCGACGCGCTGGGAGCAATTCGGAAGCTCAGCCGTCCCGGGGGGCTACTCCGACAAAGAGCCAGCTGCTAGCCAGAAGCTCCATACTAACGCCTTCCTCCATCGTCGTCCGCTCCTCTCTCGAACTCTCTGGTACCGGTACGATCGATGTACCTTTTTTGTTGGCAACCTCGGGCCATCTCGAAAATTCGACTAAACCGGACCTTCAGCCGTCTCAATCTATCGAGCAACCCGAGCTTCAAATGTAAGTGAACGATCAGGTAGAAGCGTGTAACTACATGCGTTCGAATGATCAGGCCGCTCACGAGGCAAAATGCCGAAATGCGATCCAAGCAACCACGTTGCAACATGCAACGAAACTGACATTCGAATGTCAGCGGAATGGTTGAAGGCAGCTGATGTGGTGCTGAGCCTTCGGTCGTTGTCCATAGCTAGCTAGCAGGCAGTCGAAGCTTTGCAACGAAAAACCGTTTTTAGTGCTGATCACTGATCAGGAGCCAAAGTGACTTACAACTCGGGCAAGAGCTATGTACTGTATCTATTCAGTCATGTGTGCATAATGTCCAGAAGGAGGAGGCCGATGTCAAATGCCATCCGACTCACCGTCATGTTGCTAACCGAGTGACGACTTCAGGCATGAGGGCGACCAGGGTAGCAGCGTCTTGTTTCCGTTTTCCAAAGCCTATTGCAGGGCTAGGTCCAAGCCGCAGTCATCGGATGTCCTTGACACCACTCGCTACCGGTAGGGTAAGGGCCCGGCACGTGCCCGATTTCTTGCACAATCGCTTGCACCGCTGAGAGCCGATGGCAACTTACTTGGAAAGCTCTGGGGTGCATGCAGGGACCAACTCCACGGGAACCGCAGCATTTGCAAGACTGAAATACTGGTTTGAGTTTGAGTTTCTCTCGGCTCGCATCAACCAAAAGGAAGATGCTCCCCAAACTTCACGACGTGGACGTGGAAACTCTTCGAAGTTCATTGCATCAACGACGGTAGAGGTTGGTTTTCAGGTGTCACAGGTATTAACTATCAAAGTGGATACGTTCAGTCAGCTGTTAAGCCTCCCTAGCACAGGAACCACAAACCTGGCTACCCTTAATGTGACCCTTCAATTGAACCAACATACACGCCTCCGCCTAGTTTTTCTCGGACATCGCGGTCCACATGTTTCTATTTTTTCTCGGACATTGCGGTCCACATGTTTCTAGTTTTTCTCGGACATTGCGGTCCACATGTACATAGTTTTTCTCGGACATTACGGTCCACATGTAAATAGTTTTTCTCGGACATTGCGGTCCACGTTTCTAGTTTTTCTCGGACATTGCGGTCCACATGTAATTAGTTTTTCCGGACATTGCGGTCCACAAATCAATAGTTTTTCTCGGACATTGCGGTCCACATGTCAATAGTTTTTCAGGGACTTCACGGTCCACATGTTTCTAGTTTTTCTCGGACATCGCGGTCCACATGTAAATAGTTTCTCTGACTTTGCGGTCCACAAGAGGGAAGGGTGGTTGGTTGGAGGTTGGTTGGTTGGTTGGTTGGTTGGTTGGTTGTTGGTTGGTTGGTTGGTTGGTTGGTTGGTTGGTTGTTGTTGGTGGTTGGTTGGTTGGTTGGTTGTTGGTTGGTTGGTTGGTTGGTTGGTGGTTGGTTTGGTTGTTGGTTGGTTGGTTGGTTGGTTGGTTGGTTGTTGGTTGGGAGTTGGGAGGTTGGGAGGTTGGGAGGATGGGAGGTTGGGAGGTTGGGAGGTTGGGAGGTTGGGAGGTTGGGTTGGTTGGTTGGTTGGTTGGTTGGTTGGTTGTTGGTTGGTTGGTTGGTTGGTTGGTTGGTTGGTTGGTAGTTGGTAGGTTGGTAGTGGGAGGTTGGTTGGTTGGTGGTGGTTGGTTGGTTGGTTGGTTGGTTGGTTTTGGTTGGTTGGTTGGTTGGGAGGTTGGGAGGTTGGGAGGTGGGAGGTTGGGAGGTTGGGAGGTTGGGGTGGTTGGGAGGTTGGGAGGTTGGGGTTGGAGGTTGGGAGTTGGTTGGTTGTTGGTTGGTTGTTGGTTGTTGGGAGGTTGGGAGGTTGGGAGGTTGGGAGGTTGGAGGTTGGGAGGTTGGTAGGTTGGGAGGTTGGTAGGGTTGGGAGGTTGGTAGGTTGGGAGGTTGGGAGGTTGGAGGTTGGGAGGTTGGAGGTTGGGAGTGGGTTGGAGGTTGGAGGTTGGGAGGTGTTGGCAGGTTGGCAGGTTGGCAGGTTGCAGTTGGCAGGTTGGCAGGTTGGAGGTGCAGGTTGGCAGTTGTGGTTGGTAGTTTGGTAGGTTGGTAGTTTGGTAGTTTGGTAGTTTGGTAGTTTGGTAGTTGGTAGTTTGGTAGTTGGGAGGTTGGTAGGTTGGTTGGTTGGGAGGTTGGAGGTGGAGGTTGGTAGGTTGGTAGGTTGGTAGGTTGGTAGTTGGTAGGTTGGTAGGTTGGTAGGTTGGTAGGTTGGTAGGTTGGTAGGTTGGTAGGTTGGTAGGTTGGTAGGTTGGTAGTTTGGTAGGTTGGTAGTTTGGTAGTTTGGTAGTTTGGTAGTTTGGTAGGTTGGAGGTTGGTAGTTTGGTTGGTTGGTAGGTTGGTAGGTTGGTAGGTTGTAGGTTGGGTTGGTAGGTTGGTAGGTTGTAGTTTGGTAGTTTGGTAGGTTGGTAGTGGTAGTTGTAGGTTTAGGTTGGTAGTTTGGTAGGTTGGTAGGTTGTAGGTTGGTAGGTTGGTAGGTTGGGAGGTTGGGAGGTTGGGGAGTTGGTTGGTTGGATGGTTGGTTGGTAGTTGGTAGGTTGTGGGTAGGTTGGTAGGTAGGTTGGTAGGTTGGTAGTTTGGTAGGTTGGTAGGTTGGTAGTTTGGTAGGTTGGTGGTGGTTGTAGGTTGGTAGGTGGTAGGTTGGTAGGTTGGGTTGAGGTTGGTAGGTTGGAGGTTGGCAGGTTGGAGGTTGGTAGGTTGGTAGTTGGTAGGTTGGTAGGTTGGTTGGTAGGTTGGTAGTTTGGTAGTTTGGTAGGTTGGTAGTTTGGTAGTTTGGTAGGTTGGTAGTTGGTAGGTTGGTAGGTTGGTAGGTTGGTAGGTTGGTGGTTGGTTGGTTGGTGAGTGGACTGGAGGAGGCAAGAAGACAAGGGTGAGTGGGGCGGTTTTAGAAGAAGTGCTTGTAGCACACACGAGGTTGGTCCTGACTGGCCAATCTTGGTGAGCGCCGAACGCGTTGCTGCTGGGCTGCGATGCGTGGAGAACGACGCAGTTGGGAAGCTGGGACTTGCTGGCGGCGCGCTCTGGGAGCTGGGGCTGGCGGAGCAGGTACTGGGATTGTGTCATCATCGGGAACTGGGAGCGGATCATCGTTTGGGACCATGTCATCGTCAGGAACTGGGAGCGGAGCATCGTCGGGTACCATGTCATGATCAGGAACTGGGGCAGGAGGCGGTGCCATGTCATCGTCAGGAACTGGGAGCGGAGCATCGTCGGGTACCATGTCATCGTCAGGAACTGGGAGCGCATCATCGGGTACCACGTCATCATCAGGAACTGGGGCGGGAGGGGCGGGAGGAGGTACAATGTCTTCGTCAGGAACTGGGAGGGGATCATCGTCGGGTACCATGTCATGATCAGGAACTGGGGCGGGAGGGGCGGGTACAAAGTCGTCATCAGGAACTGGGGCGGGAGCAGCCAAGGCAAGTCGACCTGTATAAGAAGGAACTCGAACGGTTGCGTTAGTGGTGGTACGAGTCATGCAAGTGGTGCCCGGAGCGGACACAGCAAAGAAGAGATCGAATACAAACAAACTCTGCTGGACAACGCGATTGCCCTGACGCGTCTCAGAGCCAACAACCAAGTAGCGATTGTGCAGGATGGTGGCCTTGACCGTGGTGGTGGTTGCGAGAGGAGCACGGTAGGCAGGAAGTTGCTGGGCGACAGGAACCATCTCCAAAGGCAGATCCAGAGGTAGAGCAGAGGAGAGCGGGTAGGCAGGAAGTTGCTGGTTGGCAGGAACCATCTCCAAAGGCAGATCCAGAGGTAGAGGCAGAGGCAGAGGCGGGTAGGCAGGAAGTTGCTGGGCGACAGGAACCATCTCCAAAGGCAGATCCAGAGGTAGAGCCAGAGGCAGAGGCGGGTAGGCAGGAACCATCTCCAAAGGCGGCGCCAGAGGCAGGGCCAGTGGCAGAGGCAGACGTAGTTGTTGGATATCAATCATGAGAGTCAAGGCAGCGACATCAAGATGCGGAGGAGGCGGAGGCGGTAGAGCGGGACCAAAAGGAGCGCGATTCATCACGGGAACAGGAGGAGCAAGGCGTCGGGCTCGTACAAGACGTCGAAGCATGCCATTCACCACAAAGAACTCCTGACGCTGGATGCGTGAACGGGTAGCAGGACCAAGGCGTTGGGCTCGTACAAGATGACGTAGATTCCCATTCACCACAATAAAGCGATGGTGAGGCTTGGCATGGCGTAGAATTGCTTGTAGGTATGAAATGGGGGCCCGCGGAGGGCGTTGTGCTTGTGAGAAGTAGCGTAGCTGACCGTCCTTCGTGACAACAAATTGTGGCAAAGCCGGTAGAACTCCAACTGATGCATGGAAGAGATCGCCAAAGCGTAGATGAAAGGGAGCATGTAGGGAACGCCGACAAGTCTTGTCCAAATCGAAGCGGTAGGCTAAACAAGAAAGAAAAACACATGCACACAGCGCAGAGAGAACAGTAGTATCAAACATGGCTACGGCAATACGTACAAGCAACGACGAAGCAAACAAAGGGGCGAGGTGAACGAGGTACACATATTCAGGCACAGCCGTCAAGACACACATGGAGCGAGGAGTTTCCGGGTGGAACACAGAGCAGGTTGCATTGACACTAGACACAGCATCCAGGACGAACAAAGACACAGGTTCAAACAAAGACACAACGCTAGAAGGAACCGCCGAAGGAACCGCCGAAAGAACCGCCGAAGGAACCGCCGAAGGAACCGCCGAAGAACAAGCCGTAGCGCGGCAGGACAAAGACACAGGCACAGACACCGACACAGGGCAAGACACAGACACAAGGGCCAAGAACACAAAGGTGATGCGAGCGATGATAGAGATCATGATAGAAGTAGTTGGTAGCAAAGTTGATAGTCAAAGTTGATAGCAAAGCGAGAGTTTTTGGGGTAAGTGAGCTGAGCGAACGGGTCTTCATCATCGTCCATTTCCTCTTCTCAACAAACGAAGCACCTTTTGATTTAGTTTGATTTCTACTTTTTAAATTTGATTTTAGAAGAAACGCTCTTACAGAGATCAAATTTGATTTTAGAAACGCTACCGGTACAACCAGAGACACCAGAACAAATCTATTTTGAAATATTTTCGAAAGGCACCACACCTCTCTTGAAGAAATATTTTAAAATTTTAACGGTGGCTGTGATGATGCATCCAATGCATCTGCTACCGCTAGCTAGCTAGTGACGAGTTTCCCGTGCTGACTCCAGGTAGATCGATTCTAAAAAGGGTCGCATGGATACGTTGACTCGCAGTGAGGCAAGAAGACGAAGAAGACTGATGCAAGCATGAGAGTAAAACGAAAAATGAGCTGCAAATTCTCAGTTGGCGGACTGAGAGAACTACTTATGAGCCAATTCTCTCGCCACGCCCAAGAGTCTTTTAGGACGCACCGATGACTGCCCAGATGAATTAACGACGTTACGAACCCACTTAACAGCCAAGGCTACAAAGTTTCTTCAGCTGGGTCCCACGAACACTAAAGTGACTTTGCACACGCTTTTGCGTCTCAAGTGAATAAGTGACTAAGACCCCCGTGACCTTGGACATTCAGCCGCACATTTTGATGCGTTAATTAAGGACGCACCGATGACCACACAAGGTGGGCAGATGAATTAACAACATTACGAACCCACTTAACAGCCAAGGCTACCAAGTTTCGCCAGCTGGGTCTTTCGGACACAAATTGACATTTTTTCGGCGCTTAGAAGCCAACAACCGACGAGGCGGCCTCACATTTTGATGCGGTTTGCATTTTCTCTTTTTCCAACCCAACCCAAGCTCCATCCAACTCCTCGTCTCTCGAACCAATAAGGATAGTTGAGGTTCTTCCATGAGTGAGTGTTCGTCGAAGCTACCAATTATCTGTGCTTGGTAAAAGTGCAAGCCCTTCTTGGATTAGAGGGCCTACGTTGCATGATTGAGACGCGACTCGAAGTGGTTCATGTAGTCTACTCTATATTTTTATTTTAAAAATAAATAGTACTATCTAGGCATGTAGTTTCCGGATACCGTACTCCCAATCAAACAGCCCCTAAAGCGATTCAGGGATCAACGTGACCGGTGACTGCTGTTTATCTCGTCTCCTCCCCCATCTTCTGAAAACCTGACCCTGCTCGATGATCCGTTATTGTTATTATTGTCATCCGGAGCCACTTCTTCGTCGTCCTCTCGAGCCTTGGTTTCTTCCCTCGATTTGACGACGTAGCCGGAAGTGTTGTGGTGGCCGGAAGCGCGGGCGGACGTGTCCAAACCGGACGGAAACGAAAAGTTGCTGCGCCTGGATTTGTACCCCTTCACCGAATGGATGTAACGTGGAATGACAAAGATGGACGAACTGAACACGGTTCCCCAAAATACACCAAAGGCCGCCATGAGCATTTGTGCATCCCGACTCATGTCCACACCAAACAGGATCGTTCCAATAATAGCACCCGCAAAGGCAATATTGTACATGGCAAGCGCCAGTGGCTTGCCGTTTTCGGCATGGCTGTATTCGTGCTCCCCGACGTAGCGACTTTGATACGCCAAATAACAACCAATGGCCACGACCAGCGCCATGAATGTGAATTGCGTAATGTGAAAGGCATCGGTCTCATGCTGGCACAAGATATGTTGCCATGGTTGGACAAAGAGGGATCCTCCATTGACTTGTAGGTTTTCCGTCCGTCGCGGAGGATCCACAATGGTAAACACCAAGAGAATGATGGTTTGTATGCCAATCATGGGGAGCGCTCTCACGGCCGCCTGGACATTGGTAATGGTGGTTCTCCGAAATCTTCGACTGGCTCGTACCAATGTGAACATTCTCCAACATTTGACAAAAAGTGTGGAGAGAGCCAGTGAAAAACACAGACAAGTGGTCCACATGCGTGCCAAACAGAGTTCATCCGACGCTTCTCCAATAAATGTCAATGTCGACAGATTCAACAGACAGCAACCAAAAATAAATGCGACTTGGAATCTCCAATCCGTATGGGCAAACGATCGTTCGTGGCGTTTGCAGTAGGACACGAGTAGCATTCCACAACAGCAGGCAAATCCCAGTAGAGATACCATGCAAAGGGCAACAAACATGGGTTCTCCCGGCACAATCGAGTCGGAAGTGTATTGTTCCATTGGCATGACAATGATTTGAAACCAATTGAGATTGGCATTTGGTTGTTCGTAGCTTTGTGCCTGTACGACATACGCGTTGGTGGGTCCATCTTTGAAGGCAATCAATTCGTTTTGTGGAAAGTTGTCTTGTTTCAATCGCTCAAAGGCATGTTTCAAAATATTGTTGTTGTTGTTGTTTGTCGAGCTGTCGTCATCATTGTCGTTGTCATTATTATCATTTTGCTCGTCAATCGTCTCCATGGGTACCCGGACGACATCACAGTGAAACTGTGAGAATCCTCCTTGATACCACTCACTGGGACAGGGTTGCGTATGATCGGACGCCAGTACTTGTTTGGCCGTTTCGGCCCCGGTAGATGCAGCAATGAGATAATGGTGCGGTGGCGCATTTTCAAAAATAGCGACATGAATGTCCTTGTCGCCATACGCGCCCACGAGAAAGGTCCCAAACTGTTCGAGGGTATAATCCGCGACCACAATGCCTTCAAAGACTTTCTTTTGTTGTTGCGTGCCGTTATTGGTGCCAGTAGTGGTATGTGTCGAATAGAAGGGTTCCGAAAAGGAGATTCCCATTTTGAGCGTGTTGAAAAAGGCGTAGGGAGCAGACCATTCGGGTCGTTGACGTCGCTTGACATCCGCATACCACGTCCGCCATCGTGGATCGTAATCGCGACTGCGGTATCCTCCCAAAAATGTATCATTGCAAATGGTGTCGCCATCATCATCATCATCACCACAGTAGGCATAATCTCCCGGCATGTTGCCACGGTGTACCAATGTGGTTCCATCGGCAAAGGTACAGTCGCCTAATGCTCCTGTTTGGAAATCCTGGAGGACTTGTCCGTGATCTTCACTGAATTGTCCAAACTGGTCGGTACAACTGTAGGTTCTGCAATGAAATAAATGAAAGCAAGTGTACAGTAGTAAGGTTAGAAACATATTCCATGCAAACTTGACCTGTGCACGCAGTACTGTACCTATATAGGTACGTGTACTGTATGATACCCAACCTACCTCGGGACATAACCAAATCTGTTGGGATCTACCGGTATAGCAGTGTTGTCATCTTGTAGTTGTAAGGAACTAAAGTTTGCCTTTTTGACATCATAGGAATAGCAATAGAGGACCTGCGACAAGCACTCTTGCAGTTCCTCCTCACTGGTGCTATTGTGTTGATGACAGTGTTCTTCTGTCTGAACATCCAGAGGTCGACATGGTTGGAGTTGACCGTTGTCTACCCACTCAATGTAGAAATCTCCATCGGCCTGTTGGCATTCCAACGGTTCCCCGGATGTTCCATTGACACAGGAGATCCAGTGCTTGTAGAATTCATTTTCATTCTGTTGGCTTGTACTATTGGCAGTGTTGGTAGTAGTAGGAGGAATGTAATAGCCCGAATTGCCCGGCTCTCGGTATGTGCCACTGCCAAATCCCGCATTGTACCCAAAAAGGGTTCCATCTTCCAAGCTAATAAAGACACTGGCTTGTAGTGTTGCCGCTTGACTGTACAGAAATCGCAGTGCGGCACTTCGATCGGGAAGATTGTGGGGAAAGCCGTGGATTTGATAGTACGCAGTGGTCAACGCCGTACTGATTTTCGGCAAGGACATGAAATGATCTGAATTCTCCTTGACCCGTTCTGCCACTTCATTCACACTACTAAACTCTTGCATAGCAACTGTAGTAGCAACCAATAGATGCAGCAGCACCAACAGTAGTAACGGGATCATCATGGTCATCATCATGGTGCAAGATCTTGTGGGGTTGCTGCAGTGTGTGCCGGTATAAGGTATATTGTGGCCAGCTTTTTGATCGAGAAAGGAAGGTGTTCGCAGGTCGCACCACGCTTTGACTTATGTCCAAGAATGCCACCACCGCTCCAGTACGCCGGTACGAACGTGACTGGCTCTTTCGATACTGTGAGGAGGAGTACAAGTATGTTCAGAATCCTGGATTTAGAGAACTCTTTCTGTACAAGATATATACAGTAAAAGCTACTTCTCTCTTTCAAGGGGAAGAAGTGGTTTCCATTATTTATTGCCGTAGTAAGTATGTTCAGAAACCTGGATTTAGAGAACTCTTTCTGTACAAGATATATACAGTAAAAGCTACTTCTCTCTTTCAAGGGGAAGAAGTGGTTTCCATTATTTATTGCCGTAAGAGCAGTAATGATATAATATTGAGTTGAAGGGCAGTTTCATTAGGGTACCGAAGCTTTAAACTGGTGTTTCCATGATTTCCATGCTTAACAGACGTGGAAGGTGAAGGTGTTTTTGACTTGCTTTTTTCTTGGCTTGTTTAATCCTTTGAGGTCCCCTGTTCAATCATTCAATCTTATCCCTCAGCTCAAGATTTAATTTGCTGGTTTCTGAAGCCGCCAAGGCATTAATTGGAGCCGAGTCCATTAATTGCGAAGGTGTCGTCGACGTGATGTTGGCTCCTCCAGTCGGACTCCTCGGAGAAATGTTTAGAAGGGTAGTTGCGGTAAATATAGGGTTAAAGTTACTATTTACTCTGCATTTATTTTTGTAGACTACAATAAACTATGGCATACCTGAACTCCAAAGTTAGTTGTCTTCCAGAACGGGCAATCGAAAAAATGAATTCAATCGAATCCAAATCGGAGGCACAAGCGACACTCTAGATTTTGAGGCCAGCTATAGAAAGGCGAATCGAATCATCGATCGTTGGGCTTTGGGCTCGCAGCCAATCCATTGCAGCGGGGGATGGTAGGTACCGAAGAGGTAGGTACGGTAGGTGGGAGACAACATACATGTATCTGTCTATAGATCCCGGTGTGCGTGTTGTATGTATGTGGCTGCAACACCATCACCGATGCTTTCTGGCCGAGAGGATGATTGTCATCCTGATTGCAGCCAGCCGCTCAATGCAATGCATGGGGATGTTTGCCCGACCTCTTCAACATTTGTAGCCGTAAATAAATAAATGCGACTTTGACAGTTGCTATCTATCGTACTCAATGGGCAACGTCTGTCCAACCGAAGACTGGTGTCTCTAGCTAGAGGTCCGCACTACTAGCACCACTTCTGCGATCCGAGATGTGTTCCAAGAACGTAGCGTTGTCGTTGCGCTTCCAACGACGACAATGCCTGCCCCAGCCACCATTTCTGTCACTGACAGTCTTCCTCCGTTGTACGAGTAGTAAGGTACAACTCGAACATCTCGCTCGGAGCCAGCCAATGTTGATGATATGAACAAACAAGTTGGCGGTTGCAGACGATGGGTCTCGGACAAACACACCCAGGTCCAACATGGCACCGATGCAAGCAACACGAGCATCTTATACCTCCCAGACAGCAGACAGCATGCTCCGCATCCATTCAAAAGTTGGAAAAGTCATTTTTCACCCGGTGGGCACCAGTGCTGTTATCATCCAGCATGCATTCACAATGCTGAAGAAGGTTTCAGGAGAGACATTCGAGACTTCTGGCTGCTCCTCAATCATCCGAGCCATGACAAACGGCCTTGGCGTCAAAGTACGAATATCATCTGGCTGTTTGTGATTCTACAGACGCAACAACAGGCGTAGAGCGAATTCCAGCCAATTCATCGTGGTTCTATCACCGGTGCTTGGGATTGCCATTCAGGGCAGCCGGGTTGTGGGAGATCAGGTGCTGAGATTTGCACTGCTGGGCCAACCGTGGTGGTAAATCCTGTGCTGGTGCTAGCTGTTGTGGGAGTGCCAATGCTGGGGAACTCACTGGGCGGATTGCAGTGCTGGCAATAGCTGTTGTGGCCAAATCCATTGCCGGGGTAAACTGTTGTGATAAGTCCAAGGCTGGGGCTAGCTGATGTGGAAATCCAGCGCCACGGCCATCTGTTGAGGGAAATTCAGTGCCAGAATTGTCCTTCTCCTCTTCGCGAGGGCTCATTTCTTTTCGAATGCGGAGGTTGTTGTGCCAAGATATGCAAGAACAGAGCTGCAGTCAAGAGTCATGGTACGAGGGATGCTCACCAACTTCCACAGGTGTCCTGCTTGTGCTGCGTTTCAAGTTTCCCTTCCGACGGGAAGCGTACATCATATTTGCGGTTTCACCTGATCTGAGCAAGTACACAGCTACAGAAACATGACCGAGCAAATCAACATGATGGCAGCAAGCAAAATCGAGTACCTGCTACTCCAGGAAGTTGTGCTTGATTCTGCTGCATCACTGGGCGCATCTGTTGAGTTGGCTGGTGAGGTTGGTGTCGGTAGAGATGTGTTGTTGGTTGCACCGAAGACAGGCGTGGTCGCATCCGATGCGGATGCTTCTAGCCGACCAACTGCAACAAAGCTAGCGTCCACGACTGTTGAAACGCCTTGGACCACAAAAGGAGACTCATAGGGTGTATTGCTGCCAGTATTGCTTCCTTGCTCTGCAGACGCTTCTTCCAGCTTTTCTTGGAGGACACCTGCTTGGATGGCTGCTGTAGTTTCATTTTGGAATATCTCGTATATCACTAGAGGATTGCTTTGTGGGTCCACACTCAGCTTGTACTTTCCAAACACAGTTATGCATGCTTCTTCAGTTGCTCCACCCTGTTTTGGAACGACGACAGTCATGTTACAAGGCGTGTCCACAAATCCGTAAATTTCGGTGCTGTTGGGATCAACGACAGGGATTCTTGCTTGCAAACGTCTTTGGCGGATGTCTTGACTGGCTGGGAGATGGCCTAGTTGCCTGCCCGTAGAGCCACCAAGGAGTGAATCCACCACAGTCTGAACAAAGTTGCGGTAGGCGAGAAGCAGTACTTGAAGGTCTGCATTGTTTCCATCTTGAAGTTGCTCCATGAGGGTAGAAGCAGTAATGGTCTCCATTGTAGATATCAGGAAGGCTGAGTTGACAAAAACAGGAAAGCTGGCGGAGGAAGGATCATATGCGTTTGAATACTCCGTGATGCACTGAGGTGCCGAGCAACTCCCAGCAAGGTTTGAGTAGTTGCCGATGGCGTTGTCAATCATGCAGGCTGCCATGTCGTACAGCGGCACCATACACTTGGAGAGACAACAAGTACTTGAAACCTCAAACAACTCACAGAAAGCATCTGTAAAGTTTGCGCAACCAAACTCTGCTGGTGTCAAGTCCAGTGGCTTATTGTTGGGGTTGCTGACAAAAAGAGCATCAGGGTCTGCATAGAGGCCAGACGGAAACTCTACAATCTCCCGCGTGCAAGACCAGAAGTAGTTTGGACAGTCTTGCTTGACACATTCCATAGTTTTGTCCTTTGCATTTTGGCATTGTTCTTCTGCATCAATCCCAGTAAGATTCATTCCAAAGAAATCAAACTCAAACATACCAATATCCTCAATGGTTGGAGCCGCAGAGCCCGCGAGCTGCAGTCCAGGTCCGACCAACCAGTCGACCACACAAGGTGGCGTGCATTCTCTTATCGTCTTGTTTGGATTGTTGTGCTGGATAACGCATGTTGTCAGCGCGCTAAGATGCAAGAGACACTGGGACAGGCAACAACTCGGGGGGAGGCTTGACAACGGCTCGCAAAACCCAGTTTGTAGCTCCGTGCATGTCTGCGGAGATGCCCCTTCCATCACCAAGGAAAAGTTGGCGTTTGGAGGTACGTTTGGATCTGTGCAGTCTTGCGCAAAAGTGGGACATTGTTCGTTGATGCACCCAAGCATCCAATACCAATTAAAATCGCAGGCGTCAATTGGCAACGGCGAAGAGAACCGCGTGCCAAAGATGTCCACTTCCAAACCTCTCAAATATAGAAATGGCGATGGCATGGCCCCATCATCATCCTCGCCTCCCATTGTCGTAGTAGTGTTGTTATCATTCTCCAAACTTATGGGCGGTGATGATGAACATTCACCCTCCAGCCGACAATCCGTTCTATTCTCACCCGTCTTGACGGTGATGACACAGGTCGTCAGGTCCAAAAACTCATTGGCGCACTCCTGGAAACAGCAATTGTCGGACAACGTTTCGCACAAATCGTTTTGGATATCCGTACACGATCCCACGGAGGTGGGAGCGGGAGCAAACGTCTCTCCAAATTCCTGCATGACTACTTGCGTGGTTGGTCCCAGCGTTGCCGTTTGTGATAGGGGCGTGGGAGCGGGAGCAAATGTCTGTCCAAATGCCTGCGTGAGTACTTGCGCGGTTGGTCCCAGCGTTGCCGTTTGTGATAGGGGTATGGGTGTGGGAGCCGGAGCAAACGTCTCTCCAAATTCCTGCATGACTACTTGCGCGGTTGGTCCCTGTGTCGCCGTTTGCGATTCTGGCAGGGGTGTTGTCACGAGAGGAATATTATTATTATTGGTTCCCACAAAAACTGGCAGTGTTTCCGGGGGAAGAATCATGACAGCTTGCCTCTGATCCTCCTCCCGAGTTGGTGCTGGTGGCCGTCGGAGCAACACTCCGCGTCGACCACCACCGAACACACCATTGAGAAAAGGACAACCAGCAGGATTGGGACAATCCAGGAGCACGCACTGAATCAGAGAATTCAGCTGTTTGGGACACTGTTCCTGGGCGTCTTGGAGGAGTGAAATCTCGACGCCACCCGCAACGTAAGAGTTCATCCCCATCATTTCATGTTGTCGATGGGCCGTCATTTCTTCCCTTTGAAACGGATCATGCTCGTGTTGGTCGGTTGTTATTGTGGAGGCAGCGTGTGCGTCCATTGTTTTGATAAGAGCCTGGCTTCGTTGACAAATCAATTCTAGAACGGCCTGTTGACCAAGAGGTACTTGGGTAAGTTCTTCCGCACCAGCCCCTGTAATATCGACTTCACCCAGTAGAGAACTGCCGGTCAGCGTGGGAAAGGTAGCAAACGTGTGTTGGATGGATTCGCTCGACTTTCAAAAAGACCGTGTATTCTTCGAGCGTCAATCCACCACTGTGGTCCGCGTCGGCTTTGGCCAGCGATTCTGTACAGGTCTCGTCCCCATGTGTTGCGCCAAGGAATACTAACAGAAGGAGACTACTGTATCGAGATAAGAACGAGCAAGATAATCCCATTTTGCCTGGTTGCATGAGTGCGGCTATTTGCACGTAGGTTCGAGCTTGGAGGCGAATAATGATCGACGACACGTCCAGCTATCATAAAAGTGATCCAAAAACTCTTCTTTCGCACTCACTATCTACCATGCATCCAGGGCCGTCACAAATTTTCGTATTTAGACACTCCGCACGTCGACCCTATACAGCTCACACACTGCAACCAAGCAGTTTCCCATTGTATCTGCACTCTTCACTCCGTGAACCTAGGTATGGGTGTAAGATACGCCTCGAGAAACTGAAGTAATAGAATTCTATTTTTAAAGGCTACTCTGAGTACGACTGTCCACCGTGCCGCTACCCTAAAAGTACGCCTCGAGAAACTGAGTCACCCATACCGGTGTAAGCACTGGTGGCTTGGGGGAATCACACGTACCTGCACGTACCGTACCGGTATCGTCGTTCTGTAATGTCTCTCTATGCATATCTGGCTACTAGGTAGCTCATATCCAGATACCACTCGAATCGTGCATGCAACTGAATACACCAGTCATCATTCAATTTTTGAACACATGGGAACCTGTGTTACAAGAGAGTCACTACACCACAGCCCTGGAAACAGGATAGTCGGACATTCCTACCATCCCTTTTTCCTTACCCCTCCTACCCCCTCAAACTTCTTTACCAACCCCAACTCTCTTCAACAAAGAGCTCGTGATTTGTGGTGAATCATGGCTCTGACCTCAGTGTACAAATCCTTAGATAGCTAACAGGCGTCGCACCCTCTCAGGAGGCCAGTGTGGCCGGTGAGCAGACTTGACTGTGGGAAATACCCGAGCCCTAGCTCGTGGGTAGTCCTCAAGCACATCTCGTCTGAATCCGTTATTAGACGTTCAGTTTTTTTTTTTTTAGGTAGCTCATACCCAACCCAACATTACGCTCCAAACAAGGAAGCCCCAAGCAAATGTAATAACTACTGTAGGATGAAGCAACGCAGCAAAAAAATGCGAGCTGGCTGTGAGGGAGCTCTGGTTGGTTTGGTGGTTTTGCCTCTTTTTGCCTCCCAATTCCTTACTCCTCACACGTTGCTTGTGCAGGAGATCCATAGGGGTCAGTCAAAGCGGAAATGGAGGGATCCACAGAACTCCAAGGGAGAGAGGACAGTAGGATTCTCATGGGGGTGATGGAAAATTTAACAAGCCTCGCGGTGGCTGCAGCGCAGCGGCCTTTGCAGTGCAGTCATACCGGTCTTATCGTCTGTGCCGAAAAAGGCTTCGTCAATCCCAGAAAGCCTAAGGATTTAACAACTTCAACGCACCGGGTGTCAACTTAATTAACGAAGAAAATGCACTCTGCAAGGAATTTCGGATTTAGTCCGCAGTCACTGCGTTAATGCTCTTGGTTTTTCGCGGTGGAAGGGTCATTACAGAGCTTTAACGATGGGTCTAAATATTTAATGTGCGAAGAGCAGAAGACAGAGAAAAGGTCATTGCAGAGAGTTAGCGACGAGTCGAACTATTTAATGTCCTCCTGCTCCGAAGCGGACTCTGACTCCACGAGCTCTGCACTTTTTCTGCCGAAGCGGACTCTGACTCCGAGCTCCGAGCTCTCCTTTTCGGATATTGCACCAGTCGACACATCGATCGCGATCGACCACAAGGACACAACTCAACCGAACCCCATGCAAAGAACCAATAATATCTGCTGACTGCTACCGTAGCTAGCTAGCATAGTATCTCCTATAGTAGGACTCTTGGGACTTTAGCAATTGTCGTGCTACTGCATCGTAGTAGTCAATCGAACGCTCTGTGATACCGGTATTGCGAGAGGAGCCAAAACCAGCTGGTGGTTGGCAATCACGAGGTGAACCTCCCGGGACTCGCTAGAACGAGGTAGACGTAGAATCCCCTTTTAATTTTTAGCTTATTCTTTTGTGTCATCCCATGTCTACATCGTACTGCACATCGGCCTCCGTTCGCAGGTTATGAGCCCAACTCGTTCGTCACACTTGCACCCAAGCCGAGACTAGGTGGAGGTTGTTTACCTCACGTAATTGGCTAGCGGAGTGAGTTTGATGCGATGTTGCGTTCGAAAAACCGATGGTTGACCTCTCTCGTCATGGTCGGACGATGAGAGCTGGATCTTGCCGTTTTTCGGCAAATTCAGACAAGAGAATCAGGTCACATCAAGATGATGGTGTTGACCGCAAGACCACAAGCTCAAGCTTGAGCTGAGCTCCACGTCGAAATCCAAATGACTGACAAGCCATTCTTTGGACGACGACGACCAGGTCAGAGACAACCTACGTTGTAGTCTCGCCGTACCAATCCTAGTGAAGTCTACACGATCCTGGATACCATTCAAGGATGATGTGGCACTTCGAGCTGGATCCTGACCTGCAAGTTCGTCAGTTCGCTGGGTTGTCGCTCCTCCTTTTTCGAAGTTGACCTCCAGATCACTTCGAAAATT